ATAGCAGCTTGTACAGCAGCACCATAAGCAACAGCTTCATCTGGATTAATATTTTTATTTAAAGATTTTCCATTAAAAAATTCTGATAATAATTGTTGAACTTTTGGTATACGTGTTGAACCACCAACGAGTACCACTTCTTCAATATCACGTTTTTGTAATTTAGCATCTTTAAGAGCTCTGTCAACAGGTCCCAAAGTACCTCGAAAGTAATCCTATCAATAAGAAAAATCAAATATTACATTTTCATTTATCTTAATTTAAATATATATATTTTTTTTGATTTTTACCATATTAAGTTCTTCAAATCGAGCACGACTCAATTGTGTATTAAAATCAATTCCTTCAAAAAGTGAATCGATTTCAAGTGAAGCTGTTGTTGATGATGATAATGTTCGTTTAGCACGTTCACATGCACTTCGTAAACGTCGTACAGCTTTCGGATTTTTTGATACATCTTTACCATGTTTACGACGAAATTCATCAAGAAAATGTTGAACTAAACGATTATCAAAATCTTCACCACCTAAATGTGTATCACCAGCTAAAAAAAACAAAAAGAAAAATAATAAATATTAAATTTACTGATTATTCTTTTTTTGTTTTTGTATTTACCAGTAGATTTTACTTCAAATACTGAACCACCTATATCACCACCACTTATTGTTAAAACAGATACATCAAACGTACCACCACCAAGGTCATAAATAAGAATATTTTGATCACGTTGAAGTTTTTTCTCAAGACCATAAGCAAGTGCAGCAGCTGTAGGTTCATTTATAATACGAAGAACCTCAAGACCAGCAATAGCCCCGGCATCTTTTGTTGCCTAAAATTTACGAAAATTAAGTTTTTTTTTTTTTTTTTTTTTGAGAATCATCAAATATCATAGACAGGGATGTGCAGATGAAGTTTTTGTATTGGCCCCGATTACTGCTTTTCTAATAGTTCCGGAACAGATGATTTTAGTTTTTTAGGTTCAGCTTCTTGTCTAGAGTAAACTTAAATTATGTTCTGATTGATATGATTTATAAGATAATTCGATTAAAAACATACAACATTATTTAACTATAATCTTTAATTTCGATTGAGACAAAGTTTTTCTCGTAGTGCCTGCTCCAGTAAATTTTTTTTTTTCGTGCGCCCAATGACAGAAACTAGAACTAACATTATTCCTGCACATTTCTAGTCACAACACATGAAATAAATAGAGTAATATTTTAATTCTTATAAAAATTTCAAGATGAAGTTAATGCCAATAGATTACAACATATTATCTATATAAATCAAATTATAGAAATTGAAAAATTTTAATCTCCTTGACAAAAATAATCTTGAATATATCGAGTCTAGTATAACTATGATATAGATCTTCGACTTATTCTTTAATAACATCTTAGGTTGTTTTAGCTTATATTTTATGTATTGAATCATTGCAAATAATCAATGATGAATCATTATCTATTTTTACTCTGGAAGAGAATAGCATATTCGCGAATGTTCGAAAAAAAATGTTTCGCATAGAACGCAAGAAAAAAAAAACGCCTTGTTCTCTTTTTTGGGGTTTTTCTTTTCTATCGGTTTTTAATATTCTTTTTTATTTTAATATTTTATTCTTACCTGTCGTTGTGAATCATTAAAATAAGCAGGAACTGTAATAACAGCTTGTCTAATATTTGCACCTAAGAAAGCTTCAGCTGTTTCTTTCATTTTTGTTAAAACCATTGATGAAATTTCTTCTGGTGAAAAAAGCTAAATTAAAATAAAAAGAAAATAAATTTTAATAAAAATAAAAAAAAAAACAACTAAATAATAATCTTTATTTCTTACTTTTCTTTCACTTTTAAATTCAACTTCAATAAATGGTTTTCGTTCTTTACCTTGAACAACTTTAAATGGCCATAATCGAATATCTTTTTGTACAGTTTCTTCATCAAAACGTCGTCCAATTAAACGTTTAGCATCAAATACTGTATTTGATGGATTCATAGCTGCTTGATTTTTAGCAGCATCACCAATTAAACGTTCTGTATCAGTGAATGCAACATAAGATGGTGTTGTTCGATTTCCTTGATCATTTGCAATTATTTCAACTTTACCATGTTGAAATACTCCAACACATGAATAAGTAGTTCCTAAATCAATGCCAATTGCTTGACCTTTTCTGCTACGAGACATAATAAGAAGTAAATGTATATGTAATCAAACGTTGAATTAAAACAACAGATGAATAGCGTGCCAATACTTATATATGCCTAAACAATAATCTAGAACATTCTCGGAGAGTACAGAATGTATAAAGGTAAGGCAAAAACTATTCTTTACACCTTTATACATAAATCGGAGCGTGATGTAATACGGCAAGTCAATACGAAGGAGAAAAAGAAAAAAAAGACCTAATAACAACAACGGCAAGAAAGAAAAAAAAAAAGAACGATCAGCTTCGGCATTCTCCAGTTATGTTAATGTATACTCTCTGACTTGGAAAATATTCTAACAAGCAGTAGGAAGTTAATTCGGACAAAAAGAGAAGACCAAAAAAAAGAAATCTTTCTCGTCCTTGACATAGGAAGAAACATGTTGACAGAATAACGACAACAAATATATTTAAGTTTTTACAACTACTGAAAGTTCTAGAAAAAAAAATGTTGTCTTTTTTTTTTTTGTTTTTGTTCGAGAGAATTCGATATACAAATAAAAAACAAAATTACTCGCTCCATGTACTTTTTTTTATATGAATTTATAGATAAAATTTCAAATTGAAAGATATATACAAAACATTTTATTGTGACAATAAATAGATACATTCTGCAGAAAAAAAAATCATATATTTTAGATCAGTACGATATTCTCACATTCAAGAACAAAAAAAAACTCTTTTCCTTCTTTCCTACTGTTTTTTTTATTAATATGATTTACTCAAGTTCTTTCAAATATTTAAAAATTATTATTCTTTCAAACAAATATTAGCTAGCTATGAAATATTGATATTCTTCAATGTCATTTTTTTTATATTCCCGCAAGCTTTGTTAATAACATTATCTAATACATTTGATCGAAGTCAATTTTATTAGAGAGTAGCTCTAATAGATTCATTTTTGTGTATATTTGTCTTTCAAGAAACGCACTTGTTGGCCTTTTCATTCTATGCAGGCTCGTTATTTTCTCTTTTCTCTTTGTTACAAACACATGCACAGTTTTCTTTTCTCAACGAACTGTATAATTTATCAACATTGTTGTTCTCTTTCTCTCGCGTATTGCATCGTTGGAATTAGATAGAAGATGTGGAATTCCAACTTATTTTTCTCTTGTCTTGTTTTCTTTGACTCTATTCTCTTGTGTATCTAAAAACAACTATTTTTCTTCGAAAAAAAGGGCGAGAAGATAAAGAAAGTGGTAGTTATTATAGACAAACTCCTCTTATGATGTTAAGATATGTATATTTGCGTTGCTTGTCAGATAAATTTTGATATGAATTACATGTCGATTGATGAAACTAATGTAGAAGACAGTGACAGCTCACTGAGTAGTTTGAACAATGATTTTGCCCAGAAGGAATTTGAATCATCAAGTTCCGAGGAAGAAATTATTGATGATGACGTAGATTTACAAGCGTGAAATAAAATGGAATCATATTCGAGTGTCGAACTCTCACGAGAAGTATTACACTATGTCATAAATAATTCCAACAAAAGCGAAGCAGATGGCACATTACATGTAACCTCTTTCCTAAGAAAAAGAAAATGTTTTTCTACTAAGTCTTTTTGTTAAAATATAATAGAACCCATCAGTGGATCCCATCGGGTCGAATGTGTTAAACGTTAAAAAATTAAATTTTGCGTAACAGAAATAACGAATTATATTTTTCTTAGACCAATTTTTTTTTTCATGAAGAAAAAAGTACAGAAATGCCTCCATTTCTCTTGCCTAGTATGTCTGATCAAATAGCACGAATACGATTTTTCGCATCCGAACCCGGACCGGCACTTTTTTCATACCCAGACTCGACCAGAACCAATCAATTTTGCTAAATATTAACGCTTTCTCTATCACACTAATACATGTTCATATTTTCTTTTTTATAATTACTTCGTTATATGATTTATCATCATCATCTGTAGATGAATTTTCATTAAAAATAAATTCTTTTAGTAAAACAATACCACTTTTCACTTCTGTAACCTTTTCTCAAGTAAAATAAATTGCTCAATCGTAATCGAACCGATTTTCATTCCTATGTTCTGGGTATCCCATTCAGTTACAGGACATTATTATACACTGCTTGAAATGGATATTGGTTTTATTTTAAAAAATATTGTTCTACTGATTTTTTGGGTAGCTTTTACAAAAAAAAAACATTGGTTTTTTTAGAGTACTGTTGGTATTTTGACTTTTTTATTCGAAGGACAAAAAAACAATTGTTGTTCGCCATTATCTCATAGAAAACATCATCCGGGATGATAACGTTTGCTTTAGTTGTCCTGAAAATTCTAAATTCTTTTTTTTATGAGTCATTCTTCGGTAAGGGAAAGAGCCCTTAACTCTTCATAAACGTGACACTACTGATTTTTTTTTTGCTCTTTCTATGACGTTTAATCTATTTATACAAATATGATCTGTTGCAACTATGAGCTAAGTATCAAGTTTAACTGCTCACACGTTTGCCGGAGACTGTTTGTTAAATTCGATACAAATTCAAGATTGATATAACATTGACAAGTATCATATGAAATTGCATTGAATTCAACTATTGTAAATATCAAGAGATTTACTTCAAGAACACTAAACTTTAGAATAAGATTCTTAGTTTAAATGCCTTTACCTTACAAGAATAATATCAAAATTCAATTTGATTCAGTCAAGATATTTATTTCTAACAAAATACATAAGCACATATATATCTGAATATAGACACACATATTTACAAACAAAAAAATAAGTCAAGATGATTTGTGTATTATTAATTTGTCAAAAACTTCTTTTTTTTTTTTTGTTATCATTTAATGATGTTCATGTTGAAGTAAACGAAGTCCACTTGGATCAGTATTACCATTAGTCAAAAGTGCATTTCTATTTGGTGAATTTGAATGTCTATTACCAACGGAATCACCCGTAATAGTTGATATTTGTTCAGTATATGTCATAATTTTAATTTCTTTACCTGGTTCATTAATAAATGTTGTAGTTGCTGCTTGTGATAAATTTGTTATTGGTATTGATGTTGTTCCATTTTGTTCATTTGATGATAGATTATTCGATAATTCACTAGAATATCGATAACGACAAATCAAATAATAAAGACATGTTAAGAGAAATATAATTGTAAGTATACAAGCTAAGAATCCAACAAGCTAATTTAAAAAAAAA